CAGATGGGAAATTTCCCCGAGGGCATCTTTTTAAAAATGTGTAATTTAAACGCAGGTTTCAGCTTGACCCTAACCAGAACCGCGGCGCTGGGGTTGCATTTGGGATTGAACTGGTCGGTGAGAGAGCATGGACATTCCTTATGATTAGTTAATCAACAGGCTGATGTTTAAAGAGGGACTCTAATTAACGGGCTTGCCTGTCAAGTTCATCAGTAATTCGAGGGAGAATCTCACATTAGATTAACGCCCCCAGGTTGGGGAAAAAAGCTGAACGGGGGTCTCGAGTGTTTGTATAGACGCATATTTGTGAGCAAGCTCACACAAAGACGAACTTAAAACGAAACATGCTTTGCTTCTGTGTGTTCCAGGGCTAGGCCTGGTGTTTGCTGCGTTGCTAGGGTCACGAGCACCCAGGGCCACGTTGAAGGCGGCCGATCCACGATGAGAGAGCTCATCGATGTTTCTCTCCCTCTCCCCTCCTCTCTCCGAAATCAATTTTTTTTTTTTTTTAAATTGTACTTCTAGCCTTCGGTTGACATGGGCCTTATTTAAGCTTTCTCCCTGCTATGAAATTTTTGCTTTTCTTGTGGCTTGTGATTGTGGTGTCTTGTGTTGGGCTGAAGTCCTGATTGCCAAGGAGTAGGATAGCTTGGTTTTGCTTAGCGGTCAGTGCGATCAGCTGTTTCAGGAAAATCAGATGATCAGAGTGGATTGATGACTCGGACGTGATCTTCGGGTAACCTCTCGCCCGCTGACGTTTCCTAACGTCGCTGAGATACCTTGGGGACTGAACTCTCATCTATCATGGATGAGCCGGGATAGCAGGGGGCTGCCTATACATCATTTTGCTGAAAGTTGCAGGACCTGTCTGGGACGTTAAGTGAGGACTTACTATACCTGTAAGTTTTTTTGTGTTTTTTTTTTTTAAATACTTTTATTGATTTCAGAGAGGAAGGGAGAAGGAGAGAGAGAGATGGAAACATCAGTGATGAGAGAGAATCATCAATTGGCTTCCTCCTGCACGCCGCCCCTCCCCCCCCCCCCCCCCGCCCACTCCACTGGGCACTGAGCCCGCAACCCGGGCATGTGCCCCGGACCGGAATCGAACCCGGGACCCTTCAGTCCACAGGCCAATGCTCTATCCACTGAGCCACATCGGCCAGGGCTATCCCTTTAAGTTTAGACACATACATATTTGCTTTCTTATTTTACCTTACATGTGAATATGTATCCAAGAACAACATTTTTTTAAATGTCAGCAAGAATAAGCTTGTAAGTCTTTGTCTCTTCAGTATTTTGTAATGAATATATATTGCTTCATAATAAAAACAAAAAAAGATTTAGCCTTAGCTGGTGTGGCTCAGTGGACAGAGCATCAGCCTGCAGACTGAAGGGTCCCGGGCTCGATTCCCAGTCAGGGCACATGCCCGGGTTGCCAGTTTGATCCCCAGTTGGGGGTGTGCAAGAGGCAGCCAGTCAATGATTCTCTCTCATCATGGATGCTTCTCTCTCTCCCTCTCCCTTCCTCTCTGAAATCAATAAAAAAAAAAATTTTTTTTTTAAAGGTTTAAAAAAGTCATAAGTGACGTAAAAAGTTTTACGAGATGGCCTTTTCGGAATCACATGGCTTACAGGTCAGGCTCGTAAAAGGCCGTGTGTCAGGCTCCCCAGGGTTCATGAAATCCCCCTGATTTCATCATCAGAGCCACGTCTTCAGAAGACACACATAGATTCTCCTTATTGTTGTTAATCCTCACCCCAGGATATTTTTCCCATTGATTTTTTTATTTTATTTTATTTTTTTAGAGAGAGAGAGAATGGAAGGGAGGAAGGGGGAGAGAGAAACATAGATGTGAGAGTGACATTATTGACCGGTTGCCTCCTGTACCCGCCCCGACCAGAGGGCTCGAACCTGTCACGTGCCCTCGGCCAGGAATCAAATCGAACCGTGACCTCCTGGTTCGTAGGTCGACGCTCAGCCACTGAGCCACGCCAGGCGGCTCTTTTCCGCTCTCCGACTGAAGCCGCTCTAACGAGGAATGGCTTTCCTGCCTCCGGAGGGCACGGGGTTGGGGGGGGGGGTGGAGTTGCTGAGTTCCTTTGAGTCATTTCCACTTTAAAAGACGCCCAGGCTGGCATTTGGACCGGCTCAGCGCTGGTTCCGGGCCAAGGCAGGGCGGCTGCCGGCTGCCTGCAGGCTGGGAGCGAAGGAAGGGAAGGAAGTGGGTGGAGAGGGAGGCCTGCAATCCCCTCCGACCCCTCCCTGGAGTGGTCCTCCACTCCTGGCCTTCTGTCCCCCATCTCCCCCCCCCCCCCCAGCCCTGCCGAGACTCAGTTTCCCACCTGCCCACAAAGCCCGGGTGCCCGACGATGGGCTCCATCCATCGCCAAGTCAGCGGCTTTTCTCAGGAAGCGCAGGTCCCTGAGGGCTTCACCCCCCCCCGTGTGGACACGGGCGCTGCCGCCGGGGATGGGCTGCGGTGCCACAGGGCACAGGGCGCTTGCCCGCTCCCTCACCGGCTCCCATGCCTCCTCCGGCTGGAATCTGCTTCCGCGGGTTGCACTCGCTTGTCCAGAAAGGTGGGGTCATGGTTTTTAGCTTTTAATCTATTTTTTTATATTTTATTGATTTTAGAGAGGAAGTTGAGAGGGAGAGAGAGAAACATCCATGATGAGAAAGAATCATGGATCGGCTGCCCCCTGCATGCCCCCTACTGGGGATCCAGCCAGCAACCCGGGCACGTGCCCCGAACAGGTGTGGCTCAGGGGTTGAGTATCGTCCTAGGAACCAGGAGGTCAGGGTTCGATTCCTGGTCAGGGCACAGGCCCAGGTTGGGGGCTCGATCCCCAGTGGGGGACGTGCAGGAGGCAGCCGATCCATGATTCTCTCTCATCATGGATGTTTCTCTCTTCCTCTCCCTTCCTTTCAAAAATCAATAAAAAGATATTTATAAAAAACCAAAAGAAAGATAAGGTCTGCCTGCATTCATTCTTCCTATGTGACCCCCTTTGCTTATCTATGAGAAAAGAAAAGCCGGAAAGCGGAAGTGACCCCCCCCACTCCCACCGCCCGGGACGCGCGTTAGCAAAGAGCACAGATGGGGGTTTAGATACGGGTTTCCGGCTGCCCACAGGCCTCTGCTCCCATGGGCACTGTTCACCTGCCCAACCACAAACGGCCCCCTGCACACTCTTTTTTTTTTTTTAAATATATTTTATTGATTTTTTACAGAGAGGAAGGGAGAGGGATAGAGAGTCAGAAACATTGATGAGAGAGAAACATCGATCAGCCGCCTCCTGCACACCCCCTACTGGGGATGTGCCCGCAACCAACGTACATGCCCTTGACCGGAATCGAACCCGGGACCCTTCAGTCCGCAGGCCGACGCTCTATCCCACTGAGCCGAACCGGGCAGGGCTCCCTGCACCCTCTTGGTCCAGCTGCCTCGCGTGGTTGGCAGTTGTCATTTTACTTGCCCAGGCGTCACCCCCAGTTATTTTGAAATGGATCAGACTTTTCCTGAACGGTATTTAGATTCCAGGATTGGACACCAACCATTCAAGACACATATGCACCATCTCTTTCTTACAGCGGGAGACCCAGCTTAATCCCCGTAAAGAATGTGGCTCTTTCTCAATGGAGTCTTTGAAATACAAAGCAGCTACCCCTTGAACGTATTGGATGACAGTTGGCAGCGCCCACAAAAAGCGAATTAGAAGAGACCTAATGGGGGGGACCCCGTGTCCTGGGAGCTGGGGACAGACCCAGTTTATGCCTGTGGTCTTGGCCTGGGTATTTTTTTTTTTTTTTAATATATTGATTTCAAAGAGGGAGAGAGAGGTAGGAACATCAACGATGAGAGAGAATCATTGATCGCTGCCTCCTGCACACCCCAAGCTGGGGATCGAGCCTGCAACCCAGGCATGTGCCCTTGACTGGGAATCGAACCCGTGACCTCCTGGTTCATGGGTCAGTGCTCAACCACTGAGCCACACCGGCCTTGGGGTGTCGAGTTAATGCTGCTTCTTCCTGGGAAAACCTTTCCATCCTTCTCTGTGCCTGCGGAATTACACCGGCCAGTTCTGGTCTGTGAGGAAGTCTCGTTTACACGGTTTATAGTTATGAATCCTTCTAAACTCCTTGGGCTGCTGTAGAGCAGACTTTCCGCAGGCCTCTGGTATGCTGTGGCTCATATATAGGTTGTCCCAAAATTCACGCAAGAACTAATTTTGATAGAAAACACAGGTTTGTAATGAAAAATTGTAAATTTTTTATTGATTCGTAAAGTATACAGTCTAGGGTTATGTATGGAATAGCACATCGGGTCAATGGCCTCCAGGCTTTGCTGGCACAGACGCAAAGCCCTGGTCTTCATTGGTCTTCATGGTCCCTGCTCCTGGGCCATCATTGGTACTTGGTGATGCTTATCAAATTGAAGGGATTGAAATCAAAGGGCAACAGATATTAGAATCTGATTCAATAAACCAAGTAAAATTAGGCTTTTATTTTTTCTTGTTGTTGTTGTTAATGCTCATGCAAAATTCAAATCTTGCGTGAATTTTGGGACACCCTTTAGAAAGATTTCTGATTTTTTTGTTTTTTGTTTTTTAAGTAGGCAGGTAGAACGGTCCGGTGTTGCTCAGTGGTTAGAGTGTCGGCCTGTGTTCCCGAACGGTTGCGGGTTCAATTCCCAGTTAAGGGCACGTACCAGGGTTGCAGCTTTGATCCCTGGCCCCGGTCGGGGCGCTTGTGGGAGGCAACCAATCAATGTGTCTCTCTGACATCAATATCTCTCTCTCTCTCTCTCTCTCTCTCTCTCTCTCTCTCTCTCTCTCTCTGTCTCTCCACCTCCCTCCCTTCCACTCTCTCTCAAAATCACTGGGAAAAAAAAGAAAGTATGCGTGCCGCAGAGAAGCAGGGGGGCGCTCGGTCCCGTCCCACTAAAAACCCCGCCTTGGTTTTTTTGTTTTAATTTTTCTTCCCCCCCGACCCTTTCCAGATGCAGCAGCTGTTCTATGAGAACTACGAGCAGAACAAGAAGGGCTACATCCGGGACCTGCACAACAGCAAGATCCACCGCGCCATCACGCTGCACCCCAACAAGAGCCCGCCCTACCAGTACCGGCTGCACAGCTACGTGCTGAGCGGCCAGATCGCCGCCCTGCGCCACCGCACCCTGCAGCTGCACCGGGAGATCCTGCTCATGGGCCGCTACGGCGGCGGCGGCGGCGGCGGCGAGACGCACAAGGACGACCTGCAGCTGGGCGCGCCCCCGTCCTTCACCCGCTTCCAGCCCCGCCGGCGCGAGGAGATCCTGGAGTGGGAGTTCCTGACGGGCCGGCACCTGTACTCGGCCGCCGACGGCCAGCCCCCCCGGCGGGGGATGGACTCGGCGCAGCGGGAGGCCCTGGACGACATCGTCATGCAGGTCATGGAGATGATCAACGCCAACGCCAAGGCCCGGGGCCGCGTCATCGACTTCAAGGAGATCCAGTACGGCTACCGGCGCGTCAACCCCATGTACGGGGCCGAGTACATCCTGGACCTGCTGCTGCTGTACAAGCGGCACAAGGGCAAGAAGGTGACGGTGCCCGTGCGCCGGCACGCCTACCTGCAGCAGACCTTCACCAAGATCCAGTTCGCCGAGCACGAGGAGCTGGACGCCCGGGAGCTGGCCGAGCAGATCAACCGGGAGTCGGGCTCGCTGTCCTTCCTGTCCAACTCGCTCAAGCGGCTGGTGCCGTTCGGGCTGCCCGGCGCGGGGAGCGAGCGCAAGGAGCCCAAAGAGACCAAGATCAACGTCCTGATCCCGCTGTCGGGCCGCTTCGACATGTTCGCCCGGTTCATGGGCCACTTCGAGAAGACGTGCCTGGCGCCCAACCAGAACGTCAAGCTGGTGGTGCTGCTCTTCAACTCGGACTCGAACCCAGACAAGGCCAAGCAGGTGGAGCTGATGCGGGACTACCGGCTCAAGTACCCCAAGGCCGACATGCAGATCCTGCCCGTGGCCGGGGAGTTCTCTCGGGCCCTGGCCCTGGAGGTGGGGTCGGCGCAGTTCCGCAACGAGTCGCTGCTCTTCTTCTGCGACGTGGACCTGGTGTTCACGGCCGAGTTCCTGCAGCGGTGCCGGGCCAACACGGTGCTGGGCCAGCAGATCTACTTCCCCATCATCTTCAGCCAGTACGACCCCCGGATCGTCTACGGCGGCAAGGCCCCCAGCGACAACCACTTCGCCTTCACGCGGAAGACGGGCTTCTGGAGGAACTACGGGTTCGGCATCACCTGCATCTACAAGGGGGACCTGGTCCGGGTGGGCGGCTTCGACGTCTCCATCCAGGGCTGGGGGCTGGAGGACGTGGACCTCTTCAACAAGGTGGTACAGGCCGGCCTCAAGACGTTCCGCAGCCAGGAGGTCGGGGTGGTCCACGTGCACCACCCCGTCTTCTGCGACCCCAACCTGGACCCCAAGCAGTACAAGATGTGCCTGGGGTCCAAGGCGTCCACCTACGGGTCCACGCAGCAGCTGGCCGAGATGTGGCTGGAGAAGAACGAGCCGGGGTATAGCAAGGCCGGCAGTACCAACGGCTCGGCCAGGACAGCCTGACGTCCAGCCCCCGCGCTGGGCCAAGACCTTTTTAATTCTCTAATTTATTTTTCTGGAAATTGTTTGTTTCTATTTTTTTTTTTTTTTTTTTTGGTACCAACCCCGTTTTGCAAGTCGATTGCACCAGGATCTGTTTTACACGTGACCTTTCTTATACCGAGGACTCCTATTTGAAGATTGAGCTTTTTTTTCTTTTTTTTTTTCTTCTGGGAACAAAAATGTGATGTTTCTGCCTTCGGACACACGTTTCTCCTCGCCGGACACGCTGTAGCAGAACCCCGCTGTTCTCCGTGACTTGAAATGTACCTGATGAATGAATGAGACGTTTTTTTGGTCGTCCTTCCGTTTCTTCCCCCGGCCCCTGCGCTCCCAAGTATTACGGGAACGAAACACTGTACCTCTGCTCACTGTTCTGTTGTAACTGGTCCCCGTCGCACAGTCTCTACCTGTTGCCTCTGCCGCGCGGCCGGCAATGTTTGGAAAGCCACGTTGGGTTCCGATGGTAGAAGAAGGGAGTGGATCATCGTCCGTATCGTCACCCCCCGGAAGGGCCATCTCACGTGCCCTCCTGCTCCCTGCGGTCACGTGGGGCTTTTAGGCAAAAGGGGGCGAGGGAGACACCCTAAGAGAATAGGGCTGTTCTTGCCATGCGTGTGGGCTCAGTGGATCTGGCGTTAAAATCCAAGGTGGATCTGGTATTTCCTCTCTCCTCAAAGGATAAGATATCAATTATTATTTTCTTTTAATCCTTACCTGAGGATGTTTTCCCATTGATTTTTATTTTATTTTTGTAGGGAGAGTGGAAGAGAGAGAGAGAAAGACAAGAGAGAAACGTCGATGTGAGAGAGACACATCCATGGGTTGCCTCCTGCACCCGCCCCGACCAGGGCCCGGGCCCCGGGAGGAGCCTGCCACCGGGGCACCTACCCTTGACCGGAATCGAACCCGGGACCCTTCGGTCCGCAGGCCGACGCTCGATCCACTGAGCCACACCAGCCAGGGCTAACCCATTCATCTTTAGGATGGCAAAGAAGGACGGTGGTGAATCAGCTGTACCCCCCGCTGTACCCTGATGCAAGTGTGTGGGGGCGTGAAATTGTATTTGCTTTTGTTCCTTCATCTCCTGTCTGTGTTATGTCGGTGGAGACGGCTGTTTCATTCTTTACAGTTCCCTTTCTTTCCCCCCCTTTTGCCTCCAGAACACCTTTAATTTATTTGATGCTCGTTGTTAAGCGCGCTGCCGATGTTCCAGGACCTGCTAGGCGATCTAGTATTTATGTGTATCAGGGCGTGTCCAGTGGGTTTTATTTGCAGTAAACCGAACTCCAAAGATTTCATCCCGAAAATGCGCCCCCCCCCCCCCCCACATTCCTTACCATTTTTTGGTTTTTTGACTAAACTATCAAGTGTTCTTTGACAATTTTGGTGCTCACGCGTTTATTAGGAACAAAAGCGAAATGAACCTGTCACCAGGCCAGGACGTCCCGTGTTCCCCTGGCGGCCCGCACGTGCCTTAACCACACGGTGTCCCCCACGTCGATGCCCAGCAGCGACGGACTTGCCACGTCAGTCAGTACTCGTCCTTGGAGGTCTGCCGATCTGTACATAGCCAGTCGCTCCTTCGGCGCAATAAACCCGTCGACAGTATTTTTCTATCGGACTCTGCAGAGCCATTGTGTCTCCTTGACTCCTCTGTTTCGGCCCGAGGGTTGTATGACATCCGGGGAGTAAAAAGCTTAAGCCACGAGTTCACGGCGTTTCTCGGTTGATTTGAGGGCGATATTGAAGCGAACTGCAGGGTGGGAGTGAAATGAAACGAACCTTTTTAAAAAAATATATATTGTTATGGCCCTGGCTGGTTTGGCTCAGTGGATAGAGCATCAGCCTGCGGACTGAAGGGTCCCGGGTTCGATTCCAGCAAAGGGCACATGCCCAGGTAGCAGGCTTGATCCCCAGTGGGGGGCATGCAGGAGGCAGCTGATCCCATGATTCTCTCTCATCATTGATGTTTCTATTTCTCTCGCCCTTCTTCACTGAAATCAATTAAAAAATAGATATGAGCCCTAGCCGGTTTGGCTCAGTGGATAGAGCATCGGCCTGCGGACTGAAAGGTCCCAGGTTCGATTCCGGTCAAGGGCATGGACCTTGGTTGCGGGCACATCCTCAGTGGGGGTGTGCAGGAGGCAGCTGATCGATGTTTCTCTCTCATCGATGTTTCTATCTCCCTTCCTCTCTGTAAAAAATCAATAAAATATATTTTTAAAAAATAGATATGAAAAAAAAATATGTATATATATTTTTAAATATATTTTTATTGATTTCAGAGAGGAAGGGAGAGGGGGAGAGAGAAACATCGATGATGAGAGTTATTGATCGGCTGCCTCCTGCACGCCCCCTACTGGGGATCAAGCCGGCAACCCGGGCGTGTGCCCTGACCTGGGGTGGGAACCGTGACCTCCTGGTTCATAGGTCGATGCTCAGCCACTGAGCCACGCCGGCCAGACTCTCCTGTGCTTGCTTGTCAGTCCTCCCAGCCCTCGGCTGGGGCCCGCCCTGGGGATTAGGCGGCGTGGCTGCCAGCGAGCTGCTGTAATCTGGCTGCAAAGGCGCTTAGGTGCAGCAGGGGCTGGGGGCCGGCGGGGGACCTGCCTGCTGCCGTGGCCCCGCAGGGCTGCACCTGCCTCCCGGGGCCCCCTGCCCTCTCCACGTCCCCAGACGATGTCCCTGCTGTCCCACTCGGGGGAAAAGGCCCCGAGACCCCATCTAACTTGTAATAGACACGCATGAAAATGCAGGTGACAGCGCGATGGTTCAGATGACAGCGACCCCTTCGGTATGACTTCCAGTAAAAGACAAAGCGGCTGCCCTGGCCGGTGTGGCTCAATGGATAGAGCGTCGGCCTGCGGGCTACAGGGTCCCGAGTTTGATTCCCAGTCGAGGGCACGTACCTGGGTTGCAGGCTCTATTCCCTGCTGGCCCTGGCCGGATGCGCGCAGGAGGCAACCAGTCGATGTGTCTCTCTCACATTGATGTCTCTCTGTCTCTCCCCCTCCCTTCCATTCTCTCTAAAAATCAATGGGAAGTATCCTCGGTGAGGATGAACAAAAAATAACTACGAAGGGGAGTCTGCACCCAGTATCTTGGTTGCGTCATCGGGTGAACACGCAGCCCCAGGAGCCCAGCTCCGCCGCTGCAAACGCTGAGTCATGACAGTGAGAAGACGGGCAGACGGATGTCTCGGTGACTCAGGGCCCGAGGAGCGGCCAGTTCCAGACACACGGCCTCCACTCCCAGGCCGCAGACACTGGTCTCCGGAGACCGGAGGTCAGGGCCAGGAACGGAAGCGGCCGGCTCCAGATAACAGCGGCTCTTTCCAGCGCGGCCGCCGTGGCTCAGTGACTGAGCGTTGAACTATGAACCAGGAGGTCACGGTTCGATTCCCGGTCAGGGCACGTGCCCGGGTTGCGGGCTTGATCCCCAGTAGGGAGCGTGCAGGAGGCAGCCGATCCATGATTCTCTCTCGTCATTGATACTTCGCTTCCTCTCTGAAATCAATCCATATATATATATATGTAATTTTTTTTCTTTTTAAAGAAGAATTCACTAAAGTGGGCGTCCCAGGGACAGGACGGGCAGCAGGAGGGAGACTGATTCTGTACTGTTGGGTGTTGCCCAGTATCCCACTGGGCACACCAAGCTGTGGCTCTAGAGACCGGTGAGCGTTTGGGGTGAGGGGCAGTGGGTAACGGCACAGAGACCGGTGTTCACAGGTGTCTGGTTTGTCCCTGTGGCGGGAACGGGGGCCTCTGGGTTGGAGTCAGTGGCTGGCTGGCCCGGCTCGTCCTCGCTCACGACCATCCCTGGTGCACAGCTCTTCCCAACTCCCAAGTTCACCGGCATCCCGCTGGCCGCCTGAAATCAGTGAGGCGGGGGTATTTACACCACAGCAAGTGGCAGCTGCTTCAAATTGGCCTTTTCTCTCTGTTTTAATTTATTTTTTTTAAATGTATTTTTATCGATTTCAGAGAGGAAGGGAGAGAGAGAGAGAAACATCAATGAGAGAGAATCATGGGTCGGCTGCCTCCTGCACGCCCCCTACTGGGGGTGGAGCCCGAAAGCCAGGGATGGAACTGTGACCTCCTGGTTCATAGGTACATGCTCGACCACTGAGCCACACCAGCCAGGTCAGGCCCTACCTCTTCACTATTTTGGGGAGAAGCTCATCCCTGGACCTGGCCTGGCTGCTTGTGAACAGGGGAAGTGTCCGGGTGGCCGGCCTCGGGCCTGTCTCCCTGGCAGGACCGTCCCCTTGAATGATGACCGCTCATCTGCGGCCAGAGGGTCGGAGTGGAGCCTCGCTGTTCCCGGAGCTGGTTTCTCGTCCCTCCCCCGGGGGTGTGGGCCGGGACGGCCGGATGCCTTTGTCCCTGTGGTCGCTGGGAGCTTGGACGCGGTCCCTGGCCAGGCCCGGAGCCACCAGCTGGCTTCCTTCAAAGGAGGACGCTATCTGTCTGCCGACGGGCCTGTGGCAAGGACCCTGGGCAGCCTGCCTCCGGGAGGACCAGCTGCAGGGCGACGAGCTGCGCTTCCTTTTCCACCGAGAGGGGACTCTGGCCGGAGGGCAGCGGGTTTCGGCTCAGGGCTCCCCTGCAGATCGTCACCCTGTCCCCTTCCTGACTTGCTCCTCGCTCTCCCTCCTCTTTTTTTTAAATATATTTTTATTGATGTCAGAGAGGAAGGGAGAGGGGGGGAGAGAGAAACATCTATAATGAGAAAATCATGCATCGGCTGCCTCCTGCACGCCCCCTACTGGGGATCGAGCCCACAACCCGGGCATGTGCCCTGACCAGGAATCGAACCGTGACCTCCTTATTCCTAGGTGGACGCTCAACCACTGAGCCACGCCGGCCACGCTGAGCTAATCTTTTAATCACCAGCATTAAAATGCAGCCAACCAGCTCACCCTTGGCTTTGTGTGCAAGGCCCCCGCCCCCACCCCCGTGTACCCCCCACAGTGCATTGTGGCCCCGGGCCGTTTACATGCGTGTAAAAGGCGCTTCAGGAGGCCCCACGCCTCCTGGCTGTCTGGCGCGTGGATGTGCGTGATGACAGTTCTACCAGAGACTCCCGGGCAGTGTGAGGGGGGGCAGCACCCCCAGGCGGGTCAAAGGCGTTTTGATTTAAGAGGCGTTGCCCTCACCAGTTAAGTGCAAGTTCATGGAGTCCACGGGCAGGGTGGTTTTGTCCAGGCTTGTGGGGTGGTAGGAACAACCCCATGCACCCAGACCTCTCAGTCCACAGCGTCAGAGTGGAAAGGGGACACACGGGGCCCAGCTGGTGTGGCTCAGTGGTTGACCTTTGAACCAGGAGGTCACGGTTTCAATCCGGTCAGGGCACGTTCCCCGAGTTGCTGGCTCGATCCCCAGTAGGGGGCATGCAGGAGGCGGGCAATCTATGATTCTCTCTCATCATTGATGTTTCTATCTCCCTCTCCCTTCCTCTCTGACATCAATAAAATATATTTTAAGAAAAGAAAAAGGACACATGTACTGTGGGCAGCATTTAGTTGGCTCCAGCTGTATACGGTGCCCAGCTAGGCCTTTATGTGCATCTTTATTCTTCAGTCCCCACCGGGGTCTGCAAGGCAGAGGGTCTGCATCTATGTTCCCAGGGGAATCGCAGAGTCAGGCCCCTCCTGCCCCCACCCCCTCCAGGCAGCCAGGTCCCTCACCCCCCACCCGCCAGGCAGCCAGGCTCCTCCCACCCCCCCCACCCCGAGGCAGTGCCTCTGAAGGGAAGGAAGCTCCAGCCACACAGGCAGCCTGGGCCTGGCGCCACCGCAGGTGAGGT